TCATTGGAAAATGACTGAAATCAAAGGTAGTCCGCATCACAGATGTCTTGGTAAGTAAATGTCTGTAAGAATTTATCAAGTTGATGATCTGTGGAAAGTTTTATTAATATATTTTTTGAAGATTTGATGACTTGGAAAATGTAACTCTCAAGAACACTTCTTGCTGTTCCATTTGCATTTAAGTTAGTATGTCAAATATACTGTGGAAATATGTTTTGCCTTTAAAAATCCTTTGCATGTGTAACTGATTATTGGAAATATAAAAATTGCATACATTTCATTTCAGAAAAATTCTAAAGTTTCTAAAACAGATTTAACATTTAGGGATCTTCACCAAGAAAGACACTAGGAGAGAATATTAAAAGTAATAGGACCCCTAAGGACAGTCCAAAATTTGAATATTAAAATCTTGGTGATCTATAAACAAAATAAAGAATCTTACTAAATCCTTTCCTTAAAAAAATGTGTAAGAGTCAAGCTGAATCTACTAAATTGTTTAAAGACAAAGGAACAAACATAATTAAATTGAAGTATTCAAAACAAATCTTCACAAGAAACTTCTTAAACCCACTAAACAATGTTTAAGAAGTACCTTTGAGTTCTACTGGTATACAACGTTCTGTTTAAATGTTTTATATTAGTTTTAAATCCTCCCAATTCCTAGCATTCCATGGAAAAGACAACTTTATATAAGATACAACCATGATCAAACACGTGGCAATGGCATTTTATTATGCGTAGTTTGTTTCCCTTGCCAGTTGCTTCTGAGTTATAAGGATATCCAATTGACTTTTTACCTTAAAATAGGCAGAAAATTATGTATCAACTCTAGCACCAATATTAAAAATGTATACAATTGAAAACACTGATAGTTATAATGGAGCTGGTTCCTATTTATAAATGTACTGCTATTGCCAGAAAATTTAGTATTTAAAAAGGTTTGAATTGCTCATTTATGACAAGAACTGGCTAGTGTGATGTGTGAAACATAAAAGTGAGGATGATTGGGTATCAGAGTGGAAATTTTTCCCACCTGAATTATTACTGTTAACATAGTCTTTAGGAAGATATAGATTCAGAATGAATTAATTTAATGATAGATTTTGAGAGGTTACAAGAAGTTTCTTTCCGGCACAATCAAAATATTTTCGTAGCAATTCAGGTTGTCAGTAAAAGCTTAAACAAATTTGCTGATAATCCTGTTAATGACCTAGGTCAAGTGTTAACTGTTGTGGGTTATAAAATAGTGAAATTAAGGTTTCTCTTACCCAGGGCAAATGGCACAGTTACAACTGATTGGGGGTGGGGGAAGTAGGGTCGAGCTATTAGGGAAGCTATTAAATTACAAAAATGTATAATGCATTCAATTATTTAGTCTAGCATGAAGAAATGCTATTAAAAGCAAATGTAGACCCTCTTCCAAAAAGAAAACACCTATAAAGATGATATGATAGCTTAGTTCTCTATTAATGTATCCATCACAGTGTATTCTTATCATGAGGATACGTGTTTATATATGAAAAGTGATGCCAACTTATAGTACTTTTTTTAAAGAGGGAAAATTCCATTATTTAAATGTTCATTGTCTCCAACACTTACCTAATACTCAAAAAGAAGCACACAGCATTCATCTGTAAGTTTTGCTTTTAAGCTTTAAGCAGTCACATAGTTTCCTCTAGTATCTAGATTTATGTACAGAAAAATGCATTTCCCAGAAACAGTGTCCCATCCACATCAAAAAAAGTCTTCCAAAGTAAGTAATGGATAAACGTACAGATTTAATTTGTATTAGTTTTTACACTGAAAAATCTGATGTTCAATAGAAGAGCTCTATGGTAATGTTTATCCAAGTTATGTTATGAACACTTTTGGGTAGTAAAATGATTTAATGCATTGTGTACTGATTAAGAGCAGTGCATTCGTCCTCAGACTGCTTCAAATGTAGAAAAGTATCCACAGAGGGTACTTTATCCAGTCCTAAAAGAGCTTAACCTAATTACAGTCGATACTTCACTTTACATTGAGCTTTAACCTCTTTCCAAAGTCATTTCTATGTACCATTGTTAGAGTCCATGTAGGATGGGCACAGGGAGAAAATACATGAACTTTTCTGATAAAACATTGTAAAGCAATCATATTTTGCAACAAAAAGTAGTTGATTTTTCATTGGAAGGCTTTTCTGGGTGTGTCTTACCAGAGAAGCCTGATAAGATTTTAATAAAGTTTCATGCAGCTTTTATAAAGTTTCTTTTTATATAGACCCAATCTTGCTTTAAACAATCACTGAAATTATGAATATCTAATATCACTGAGGAGGTCAGTGACCAGAAAGAATCACCAAGAATAATTTTTCTTCAAAGCATTAGAACATTATTTGTATTAATAAAAGTTCAGAATAAACTTTTTCAAAGTTATTTTTTTATGTTATGGACTCATAGCATTTTAATATTGATACATGATTATCAAATCACAATTTTTTTTTCAAAGTACATAACGTCAAGCTTCCTAGCAATTAATTCAACGGCCTGGCTTTGTTTTCTTTTAGTTCCATCGTGCCTAACTTCATAATAGATTGCAGAATATATTCTAGTAAATTTTACCATTTCTGTAGTGTTGGAATATAATTTTGAGTATAGAATTTTAAATGCAATTTAGAATATTATGTTTCACTTTTTAAAAAATATTAAAAAGCTATATTAATGTATATAATTTTATCATTAGTTCCCTCAAAATATGTATGAATTTTCAGAAACATTGCTTTCTATTCAAGTTACATTGTTAGAAGAATTGTATGGAAATCTTGGCACTTATTTGGAATTTTCACATTTCTTGTTGTTCAGCTCAACTACTAAGAGTCAAGCTATTGAACTGATACTTAAAACTCACTCAAATATTACCGAAGTTAAATCAAATTTTTAAAATTTTGTTTCAAATGTTCTCTTCATAACCTAAGAAAGGAAAAGAGACATTACCCACAGGACAAGATCTGGAAAGACTGATCCTATGAACAATGGATAGAGAAACTTTTATCCAAGGAAATGTTATTATATGAGTTCTCTGAATATATTAACCTTCTTACATATATATGTTGTTAATGTGTACCTGTATAATTATATACATTTTCTACCCAAGTATATACCAAGTGTGGCTTAAAAGCAATTTACAGTTGATATTCATTAATTTTATATAGGTGTGAATAAGCTTAAAGGGTCATTTTTTTCCTTGAAATTTGCTTAAAGTTTATGTTTTCCACAAAAATACTGACTCTCAGCTATACCTTTATGCATTATTAATTCAAAAAAAATCCATTATCTAAATAGTTTATAAACATTGCATTTGGAAAAATATATTTTATCATACCAATTTGGCAACAAGAATATTATTTTTCTAGTTACTAGTTGTCAACATTTTAATATCTTCAAAAAGAAAAGATTTTAAGTGACTCATTATACAAATGACTACTCATGACTTTCATTCATGAAGAATGATTGGTCATTACTTTCAAATAAACACCTTAATTTGGTTTGTAAAATATATATATATATATATATATATATATAATCTCACATGGGTAAGATGATTTTCTTGATCCCTATATTTTAGAATTTTCAATTTCCCAAATAATAAAGACACAGAAAAATTTAATGTTATCTGCCAAATTGATAAAAGCAGTCACTACAGAATGAAATTAAACTGCTCTATTAGCAGTGAAAATAGGTCAACAAATATGTAAGGCAGTGTTTGTACTTAATTAAAAAGTTTCTAAACATTTTGAGCTTTTAGTTGTGTCTATGTGTGTTTTAAGTAATGTATACAACATATAACAGTATCATTGTATTGACAATATGTATTTTTAGTGAGTGACGATCTATAATATGGCATTTGCACATTAATTTGCTAAACTGTAAAATAAATTGCAAAATGTTATAAGTTCAAAATCATTAGGAGGAAATCAAAGCTTTCCTCGTATAAAGCTCTAAAACAATCAATTATTCAGAGAAGTTTGTCTTAAGAGTTATTGTATTCACTAGTCATTAGGAACAGATCAGAAAATGTGTACAGAAAAAAAGACAACGTATCTAGGTATGTAGTACACAATCTTACAGGAAACGTAAGTATCATTAATATTAGGATTGAACTTTAATCCACTGAAAAAGGGATGAAACCCCATTAGGAGGAGAAAAATAACCCAACATCAAGGAGATGCCATTTGATCCATATGAACATTCTTTCTTAATTTGCTATTTAGTTATTTTCTATACCTACCCAGGAGCTATTTATTATTCATTAAATACAACTCCCATTTGTATATAAGCCTTTAAACAAAGAGAATCCAACCTAAGCTTATTGTAATTCCTGCAAATATTACTTATGTTAATGTAACATATGCTGCTCATTAGAACCTGTACCAGAGAGCAAACCATCGCCTGGCGGGATGCACTCCACTTCAATACAGCAGTTGCAACATCAACACATACACACTCACACACCTCCGCTTCAGCAAACTCTAATTTTCCCTGAGTCCATTCCTAAACGCCATGATCTCAAGGAGGGACAACCTGTCATTACCTTTAAACATACTAAAGAATCTAGAGCGGAGGGTTGGATTTTCGTTTCAAGTTCTCAGAGTACCACATGGTCGTAATTAGAAAATAAAACACTGCCTTGGCTATTTGGCAATTAACATACTGGGTTGTAAAAACTGGAGGTTTTTTTTTTTTTTCTTCCTCCCTTTCTGTTTAAAATTGGCAAATAAGGTAACTGCTTGAATGGGTATCAGATTAAAAACACATTTTAAAGGTTTAGGCAAGCCAGCATTATCTCCTAAAGTGTTTTCGAAGACAGCCGAAAACAAAAGCACATCTTTAGTTTACTCTCAGAGCAAACTGCTTCATTCTGAGGCACCTTACCGACGTGCGAAGGCTTTGCTGAGAACCTGGCTTTGGAGAGAGCTTTGGCCCCGCGGGGCAGGGCTGTGCTCCCCGCGGTACCTGGCTTACCTTCATTGGGAGGCTGGAGAATCAGTTCCCCGAAGCAGTTGAGAGCAGAGCAGCTGAAAAACAAGAGGATGGAGAGGTGACAATCCATGTTGCTGGTGCAGAGGGCAGTGAGAGGAGCATATCTCCATGAAGCATGCCACTGATGTGAGAGGGAGCGCTCTGATTGCTGGAGAAGTTACCATGCTCCGCTCGCAGGCTGATGTCAAGTTTGACACTGGAGATAAGGAGGAGTCTGGCTGCTTTCGGCGAACCTCGCTCAGGGACTTCTCTGGGTCCTAGTGCCGTCGGATGCGAGCGCCGCCGGAGAACAGGGCCGCACAGCGCTCGAAGAGAGCTCTGCAGCACGGAGCTGCTAAGGAAGGGGGGAGGTGGCTGTGAGGGGTATCGCCAATGAGACAGGAGATCCAGAGGTTGTGATGGGGCAGTGGTGGGGAGAGAAAAACAACCCGTGTTGATTTGCAAAGAAAAGCTGCTCTTGTTATATTTGCTCTGTAGCTTAATTCCCTGAAACTCTGATACGAGTGTCGTACGGATATGTGAGTGGGCAAGAAATAAATTCCAGGAAAATGTTTGATATTAAAAGAATGGGAGTCTTTAAAAACAATAACAACAACAACAGCAACAGCAACTAATGATAGTTGTGATGATTGTCTAATTTAAAAGTAAAAGTAGGATTATCCGTTTACTACGTTCAATGCCTTCATAACTCTCCCAAAGTCCTTTGTGGCGCAGAAGAACACTAACACACAACCAAGACCCTGTAGTACTCGTAAACTTTGGTGGCTAAGCCTATTTCCTTGTTTGGTATTTTCAATGGCAGACTGTATTTCTTTATCCTTTATTACAGCATTAGCTTCTGGGTTCCAATAAGTCAGAAAGTTTCTCCAGTTCTAGACCAAATGGTAGCAGAGCTTTTACACAGATTTGACCCAGTGTTTTCAAGTTAAGTACACATACAGTGCACTTTGGTTTCGCAAACTGGGAAGTAACCATCAGCATCCTTAGGAAGTGAGCAAACGGAGCCCTAGCAGTAGATGCAGGTCAACATCCATCCTTATTCTGTGCTGTGGATTTAAGTAAGAGTCATACAAATCAAACCTAAATGTCTTGACAATAAACCACTGACACTCTTCTCTCCTCCTCCACTATCTAGCTTTTTGATCCCTGGGTTCTTTGAGATAAACAATTCATACTTTCTTTTTTCTTTTTCGATCCCTCAGGGAGTTTGGATGTGTCTATGGAGCTTCCATGACCTTGTCTTGTACAAGTTGTGCTGGCTTCACCAGTATAGTGTACCGTCTTACCCTTCACCAAAGTTACCCATTATCTATTGTCTATTTAGTGTTTTTCCATACACCCCTCCCCCCTCAGAACCATCAAAGATTGTTTCTTTTTGTGTGTAAACCTCTTCATGAGTTTTTATAGTAGTGGTCTCATACAATATTTGTCCTTTTGTGATTGCCTTATGTCACTCAGCATAATGCCCTCCAGGTTCATCCAGCTCGTGAGATGCTTCGCAGATTCATCATTGTTCTTTATCGATGTGTAATACTCCATTGTGTGTATGTACCATAATTTGTTTATCCATTCATCTGTTGATGGGCATCTAGGTTGTTTCCGTCTTTTTGCTATTGTGAACAATGCTGCAACAAACATCGGTGTACATATGTCTATTCGTGTGATGGCTCTTATTTCTCTAGCATATATTCCTATGAGTAGGATTGCTGGATCATATGGTATGTCTATTTCTAGCTTTCCAAGGAAGCACCATATCATTCAACAATGCATATTTTACAGCTCAATTCAGCTTTTCAGCCACTTACAAGCTGAAAATATTTGAGTACTGTTATTTTTTAGTTGGATTTTTTTTTAATCATTCCAAATCCAATGGTTAAATAGTAATATCCTTGCACATTCTCACATTACACTGTGGTTTTAAATGTTGGCATGTCTTCTTTCCAATCCCCTTGTTGAACAATGTAATTGCAACCTATTTCAATCAAATAAGAACTATTCCAACTTATCTTTAAAATATCCCCCAGAAAGTGATTACTCAAATATCCACCACACTCATCTATGTTTTCCTATTTTACAAAAGAAAACAGGAATATTACATTCCTTGTACAACTACAGAGAGTAAAGGTGGATTGACAATCTTAAGTTCAGCCATCAATTTTAGAACTCTACGTAATGCCATCCAAATAAGGATTCAAAAAAATGCATTGCTAATTAGATATTCACTTCACAAACACTATGTCTCTAATGAGAGAACACAATTTCCACAGAAAGGATTTAGATTAGTGGCTTCTGGCAATGTTTTGTTGGCTGGGATTGGGGAGTGACGTAGAAAGCCAGGGGAAAAGAATCACCCTGCTCACTTTTCTGTTAGTGCCTTGTTACCCTGTATCTCTACTTCTTCCCACATTATGTTACCACAGGCTGTAGAACCCTCTTCAAGTGCCAAGTCTTTCAGAATTGAAAATATTGACAGATATTGAATAGAAGGCTTAGATAGTGGTGACTTTGTGACTTTTTTTTTAAGTTCCAAAACAACTGTGACCTTTCCAAAAGACACAGTTACATTGTTTAAGGGTTAGATAAGGTTTATCTGAAACTACAAAGAAAATAAAATCCTATTTGGAGGTGACAATTTTAAAACACTTGAAAAAAATCACACAAATGTGCTGATATGCACATACTTGACCACCTCCTGATACTTCTCTTTTTTACACTTACAGACTGTTTGTCACTGTGGAAAGAGGCATTCCTGTTTGAAGGAAGCTACACTAGTGTCAAAGTGAGTAAAAAACAATATTTGGCCTGGAAGTGTAATGTAAACAATATAGGATCTCTTGGCTATGGAATCTCTAGGTCAAATGGCATCAGACAATAAACTAAGCATATAATTTTGGATAGATGTTAAAAAAAGGAGGAGAACAAATGATTTGGCCACAGTAAGAACAGGAAGGACAGAGGTGAGGGCAGCAGATTCAGGAAACGCTTCATTAAGAAAGTGATAATTGGGTTGGAATTGAAGGATGAGTAAAAGTTTACCAGTTGGAGAGTAGTTCAGAAGTCTCTACAGGAAGATGGAATATAAACAAAACCACAATAGTGTTCAAGTAAGGATGAAGTAACATCTGGAATATACAGGGATTAGGTCAGTGGTTTGAACCCAGTGAGCTGCTCTAGAGGAGAAAGACCTGGCATTCTGTTCATGTAAAGATTACAGCCTAGGAAACCCTATGGGGCAGTTCTACTCCATCATATAGGGTCTATGAGTCGGAATTGATTGGAAGGCACACAACAACAACAAAAGAGTATTTGTAGAACAAAAATGACCAGGATATGAGGAAGTGAAGGCAGGGGCTGGTTATCCAATAAGCAAGATAAGCACGGGCTTACTTGTGCTTACTTACTAAATTGTAGTGAACAATTTCATATTTTTTCACCACATCAAAGATTCTGCTTCTTGGTATGGCTGGCATCTCTCTCTCTCTCCCAACCTCACAGCACCTTCCTACAGAATCAGAGCCTCTTTTCAAATGTACAGTCTCTGACAGGGGTGGATGACTCAGTAAGCAAGGTAAGCATGGGCTTATTTATGCTTACTTACTAATCTGTAGTGAACAATTTCACATGAGTTTCACTCTGATGTGCTGTTCAAAAGGCAGATGGTAAACTGTGCAGATATTTCTATGCCATATGTCAATGGTTTTACACTATATTCTGAATTAAATAGAGACATCAAAGCTTTTAGAAAAGTAATAACTTGATCATATCTGCATTTTAGACAAAATTTTTATTGAGAGTGTAGAGCAGGATGTCTCCATCTGTACACTACAAGGACTGCCTGCTATTGAAATATCTGGAATGCTTATTAAAAGTGCAACTCTCTTCTCTCTACCACAGATTTACTGAATCTAAATCTCTGAACTTGGGACACAGGACTCAGCAACTCTACCAACTTTTCAGGTGATCCTTATGGTCCCCAACATTTAAGAACCAATGCTGAATGCAGAAAGAGAAGATGAGATACTGGACAGCCAGATTTGGGCTATTTTTAAAATAAAACTAAAGTGATAAGAAACTGAACTAGAATCCATCTATCAGAGAGAAAACAGACAACAGATGAAATTTAAAAATATCTTTCAGGTGAAACAAGTAATATTTCCTAAAGAAAACTTGCACATGGTGGTTGAGGAAGATGACTAAGACATTTGTAATATTTAGTTTACCCAGTAGTTCTATTCAACAGGATATAAGTGCCTATCGTGTGCCTGACAATGTGCTAGACTCTGAGAGTAAAAAGATGAATAAATCCATTAAAATAATTTAGTCTCACATTGAGAAATTATGCCAAGTGTTACCTAGAGGGACACGTAGATTATTTCACTATACAGAGGGTGGATACATAGTTCAAGTTAGAGGTTATAGGACGTTTTCCTGGAGGAAATGGCATTTGAGTGGAGTATAGAAGGATGGATCTTAAAGAAAAGTATTCCCAGAAAAGTGAATAAACATGGAAAGCATGCTTTCTGTAGGAAATGACAAAGACCTCTATTATTCGAGCACAGATTTTAAGGTGGTAGCAGGGAAGATGTGACAGAGGAGACAGGAAGGTTAGAGAGGAGCAGTGTCATGAAGAGTTCTGGAGGCTCTTCTGAGGAGCTGGGACTTGATTCGGTGGGTGATGTGGTGCAGGAGAGAAATGTAACTCAACTTACATTTTGACAGATTCAAGCGGGGAGGGGCCAAACGGAAGCAAAAAAAAAAAAAAAAAATCCACCAATGAGGAGCCAAAAGACCAGTCAGCAGCCCTTTGTAATAGGATAGCCAGTGTCATGCAAAGGTTAGCAGTGGAGCTTTAGAATCACACAGACCTCGGTGATTGCCCTGGCTCTGCCACCCTTAGTAAAATTCTGATATTAGCAGATTCTGCCTCATACTGATGTTGAAAGGATTATATGAGCTTTGGGATGGTATAGATAAAATGTTAACCTAGTACTTGGCGTATTAAAAGTATTTGATAAGTTTTGCTTGTTTGTTTTTAAATCTTGATCCAGAAGAGACTTCTGCAGTGTGTCA